GGGGGGGGCGGGGCCTTGGGCGGGGCGGGGGCGGCGCTGGGGGCGGGGCTGGACTGGCCCGCGCCCTGACCGCCGCCGCCGCCCGCAGAGTCGTGCGCGCACGTGGTGTGCCTGCGGCCGCAGTCGTGCGTGGTGGACCAGACGGGCAGCGCGCACTGCGTGGTGTGCCGCGCGGCGCCCTGCCCGACGCCCTCCAGCCCCGGCCAGGAGCTCTGCGGCAACAACAACGTCACCTACATGTCCTCGTGCCACCTCCGCCAGGCCACCTGCTTCCTGGGCCGCTCCATCGGCGTGCGCCACCCGGGCAGCTGCACAGGTGCGACGCGGGGCGGGGACAGCGGTGGGGGCCAGACCCCTGCCCCTCTCCGCGCCCCCATCTCTCCCTTTGTGTCTCCCCGTCTGCAGGCACCGCAGAGCCGGCAGAGGCTGAGTCGAAGGAGAAGGAGGAAGAGGAGGAAGAGGACGAGGAGGAGGAAGAGGAGAACTTCGTGTGAGCCTGCGGGGCGGCCTGGGCCTGGCGTTCAAGGCCTCCCCGTTTTATTTATTGCTGCAGCAGAGTCTAATTTATGTCCCCCGGACACTCCCCAGAGCCTGGACCGGGACTATCTGGGGAGCCCCAGAGCCCCGCGACGATGTCTTGGAAGGGCTGGGGGAAGGAGCCCTGGGAGCAGGGCTGCGGGGTGAGGCCTCCACCCCAGCCACCCTGCTGCCCGGGAGGACCCCGCGCTTCTGCTCCCTCGGGGGTAGCTCTTCATTATCGTGGCCCCCGGGAGGGCTGGGGATTCCCTGCCAGCAGTTAGTCAAGAGGGACCCCAGCCTTTTAGAACACAGACGAGGGGGTGAGGAGGCAGCCCGCAGCCTGGCATGTTTAGACGAGTCTCAGAACGTGCCAGACCCCAGACGGGCCAAGGAAGTGACCGCTGCCCTCTACCAGCCCAGGAACTCCAAGGCCTGCCCTCCCGCTGCGTCCGTTTCTCTGGTACCTCTTGAAACACCAGCTTGTCCCCTGGGGCGGGGGGACGATATCTGTGTGTCCTGGTCCGGGCCTCAGGGTGCAGCGGCCAGCCTTGGCCCAGAACAGGGCACCACGTCCAACGGTGCCCAATCCGCTTAGGTGGCGACCCCGTGGGCCCGCAAGCTGCTGCTCACCCACTGGCTTGGGGTGGGGTGTAGACCCGAGGCCCACTGCACCCCTGGGGCCTCCTGGCCCGTCTACAGGGGAGATCCAGACCCAGGACCCCTTGGTCCCACGTGGGCCGCCCTGGTCCCGGCTGGACCCTCCTCGCCTGACAGCCCGGCTCAGGGGTCTCAACACCAGCCAGATGCCGGCCTTGGGCCGATTCCTTTCATTCCGTCTGGGCTGTCGCTCAACGTCACCTCCCGGTCCGTGCGTGCAGACCAGAGGCTCAGACCAGACGTGGGGGGGTCTAGCTCCCCGAGTTCGGGGCGAGGAGCGAGGGGGCAGTTGTGGTTTCCCTCTCCCAGCCCCCAGGAAGTGCCTTATTTGTGACACCCAGAAAAGTGCCCTTGAGGAGGAGGTGGGCTCACTCAAGCCCCCTGACAAGGCACCTCCCCCACCCTGGGGTCCTCACCAAAGAAATAAAGACTCAGAAGCCACCTGGGGCGCCCAGGCCTCCTCTGCCCCGTCTCTGTGCCGCCCACTTTGGTCGGGGTTACTAGCCTGGGGCCGGGGTGCTCTTAGGGTGGTCAGTGGGGGACTCCAGAGGTGTCTGGGGGAGACACATAGGTGTATGTCTTTGGGGCAGCCGCCTCCTGGCTCTGGGCCTTGGTGTCCGCCTCCGGGCAGCGGGCAGCAGCCAGGGAGAGAAAGGAGGCCTCCAGGGGGCAGGGGAGGGAAGGGGGTTGGAGATGGCGGCAGGCAGCCCCAAGAAGCCATTTGGGTCAGAGTCTCGACAGGGAGGCGTGGCCTGGAAGGGGTGGGGGGTGCAATTATAGCAATAACACGATAGGTGATGATACTGCAGCAGGCACACCAGGGGGCGCCCACCCGGCCCTCGCTCCGGCCGGGCACCCTCCCTTCCAGGCAATTTTCAGAGAGCGAGGAGCTCGGCCCCCTTGAGACCATGCCCTGTCCCAGCCGCGGTTCTGTCCATACACGGGTGTGGTTAGTGGCGAGTGGAGGAACAGCATCCGGCCAGGGGCACAGCAGGTGCAAAGGCCGGGAGGCCATCCTGATATGGCTGTGGGTGGGGGTGGTGAATCCAGAGGGGTCAGCAGGGGAGGGTGGAGGGGTGCCCGGGGCCTGCAGCCCACGACCAAGTGAGGAAGCTGAGCCAGTGGCTGGAGGTCACCGGAGAGGGAGTGGCAGAGCGGGACCCTCGGCCACACTGGCACCAAGGAGAAGCCAGAAGGAAGGTGGGCGGGCCCTGGGAGCAGATGACCCCGTCTGGCTAGTCAGTTAACATTTTATTAGGTTCTTTTGTCCCTTTCTGTTTGGAAGTGATGTCCCCCCACCCCACACACACCAGGCCTCCGGGGTTTGCGGGCCCCGTGGCGTCCCTGCGTGGGCCGCAGAACTTTCCAGGGTCAAGCCGATCTGCATCGTTCTCTGTCCCCCATGTGTATCCGGCGTGGTTCAGGCAGCTCCTGCGGGGACCCCAGGGGGGCTGGGCCAGGGGCCATGTGGGCGCTGCCGAACCACGTCCCAGATCCAACTCACGAAGGCGGACACCTGCGTGTACACGTCGGGGGTCTTGGGGTCGCCGCACCAGAGGCCCGAGAAGGAGACGAGGCCGTGGGCCCGGTTCCGGCACACCAGGGGCCCCCCGGAGTCCGCCTGGGGGTGGAGGGGAAGGCGAGGTCGGGGGTCCCTCTCGGAGCCTCACTTTCCCAGAAGGAGCTTGTTGTGTGCATCCAACCAGGACCCTCCCTGCCTTGGGACCTTCCACGGCCCCCTGGTGCCCTTGCGGCAGAGACTGAACTGCTCATCTCAGCCTCCGAGGCCCTGAGGATCCAGCCCCCACCCACCTGTCTGCCCTCCTCTCCCCCTCACCCACCTGTTTCCAGCCACACCAGCATCCTCGCTGTTGCTGGGTGAAACCAAGCTCCCTCCAGCCTCTAGTCTGCATATTCCTGAGACCTGTCACTGCCCCTGCTGGATGTGGCTCGTATAGATACACACGGCTGCAGCGCTGTGTGCAGTGTGCGACCTGCACAGCTGTCCACGGCGGGTCTGTGACCGGTCTCTCTGCCTCGCATGCCTTCTCTCAGATCTTTGCAAGGCTCCTTCAGGCCTCAGCTCTGAGGTGCTCTCCTTTAAGAGGCCTCCCTGAATACTCACCCTAAGCTTCCTGCTGTCTCCCCTCCTCCCCTCCCTGATCCTATCACCCTAATTACCATCTGAAATCGACTCTGAGCCTAGGAAGGGGCAACTTCACAGATGGAGAAAGTGGGGTCCAGAGAAGTGATGTGACTGTTTCAAGGCCACACACCTGTGTTCTGAACCACTGAACTCTCTTGCCTGGAACAAGAGACCCTCCAGGCTCAGTTTCTCCCTCAGCACCAGGGCCAGGGTTGCCAGTAGTCTATACGAGGTCTTAGGAGCGGGAGTTCTTCTCTTGACATGTTACTTTACCCTACTGGACACCACTTAGAAATACACAAAGCTGTAGCTCTTTGTGCAGTGCACGACCTGCACAGCCGTACACGGCAGCCCTGTGACCCTAGGCAGCTCCCTGCCCTTCCAGGGCCTCAGATGAGGCCCATCTGGTCAAAAGCAAGCTGGGACTTGGTTCCAGAGGCTCTGCCCGGTTCTGCCTCTCTCTGTGGGCCTCAGTTTCCCCACACGGTAAGCAGGTGGGGCGAAGAGTGAGGACCTTACCGAGCAGAAGCCGCGCCTCTGGCTGTCCTCACTGTGGGTGCAGAGCATGGCCGGCTTCAGCCGGCCCGTCCAGGAGCGGTTGCAGGCATCCAGACCCAGCACGCGGACCTCGGCCTCCATCAGCCCAGGGGGCTGGTCTTCGAAGTCGGACACAGAGCCCCAGCCAGCCACACGGCACAGCGTCCCGGCCCTGGGTGGCCTGGCGCCGCTTCGCGGCAGCTTCAGCAGCCCCACGGCAGGACCCAGGACGGCAGAGCTGTTCAGCTGTGGGGAGATCGCCGAGTTTAGCCCCGCCCACAATGCCCACCATGGCTCCTGCCTCGGTTTCCCCCTCTGTAGTACGGGATGGAGCAGTGAGCCCCAGGCTTCGGGGCTCCACAGATGAGTAATGTCCACACTCGCTGGCCCGTCTGTTTCACTGAGAACACGGTGCCCGGACCCCTCTTGTCCCAGGGGACCCGGTTCTGTCATGTCCGTTGTGACCTTCTGCCACATTTTGGGGGGCAGGTTTGGGATGCTCTCCCTTTAAGACGGAGGCCCCGGGGCGGCCTGGAATTGAACCCGGGGCACCCGGGTGGGAGCTGCGGGGGGGCCGCCCCCTAAGCATGATGGGGACGCGTGGGGTCCCCACGGCCACCGGGAGGAGCTGCTTCCCGCCCGCCCGGGGAAGGCCGAGGGCGCAGACATGGGGTCTTTAATGGGGGGTCAGGGTCTCATCATTCCCTCCGTCCACGCGAACGTTGAGCGCCTGTTGTGTGCCGCTGACCCCTGCCCTGAGGTCGGGGGGGCGGCCGCGCACGGCGGTGAAGAGGCAAGTGAGCGGGTGGGGGCTGCGTGGACACGGGAAAGTGGACCAGGGCGAGGGGCTGGGGGACGGGCTCCGCGGGGGTCGGTCGGCCTCGGGTGGGGGTGAGGGGGCCACCCTGGGGGTGACGGGGACAGGCCGGGCCTGCGTCCCGCGCCCCCGCCCCGCTCACCCGCAGCAGGCAGATGTCGTTGGCGTGGGTCGCGGGCTGGTAGTCGGGGTGACTGACGACGGCCGAGACGCCCAGCACCTGCTGCGTGGGCTCCGCGACGCGCAGGGCGTGCGCCCCCAGCACCACCAGGTCCGCGCGGGGGTCTCTGCGGGGGGAGGGACCGCGTGAGGCCCGCCGTCCTGGCCTCGGTTTCCCCATCTGCGAAACGGGGGCAGCGGTGCATTCCGTCCTCACGCCAGCGCCGCGAGGGCTCGTGGGGGTGGCCGTCCCACCTTGGGCTGCAGTGTTGGCTCGGACGGTCGTGATGCTGATTCTGATAATGATCGTGGAAATATCCTCCCGGAGAATAAAGCGCTCACTGGGGTGGTTTAACTCCAGTGACCTCAACATCCGCCTTCGCGGTCACAACCATGTCCTTGGGGTCAACGTGCCGTTGTGACACCTCCTGTTGTCACCGCCGCCCCGGCGAGCCCGCCCCCCAACGCCCCGGCCAGGGTGGGGTCCCCGGCCTGGAATGTGGCCCCACCCTCAGGGGGGGGTGGCTGCGGGTGGGGGGCTCACCTGTCCCTGAAGCAGTGGGCGGCCGAGACCACCCAGCGGGCGCGGAGCAGGAAGCCCCCGCAGAAGTGCTCGCCCTTGAAGCGCACGGACGCCATGTACGGCCGGGAGTGGGGGGTCACCTGGTGGCCGCCGATGATCCGGGCACCCCAGGAGCCTGCGGGCGGGGCGGGGGCCGCGTCAGGGCCGGGTGGGAGGAGGGCGGGCGGGGCAGCTGATGGGGTCAGGGTCGGGCTGGGGGGGAGAAGGAGGCAGAGACAGAAGGAGACAGAGAGACGCAGATAGAGAGAGACACAGAGATACAGAGACAGAGAGACAGAGACAGAGACAGGGAAGGCCTTCGAGTGCTGGGGGCCCGAGTGGGGTCGGGGGGCTCCTGGGGGTCCTCACCTGGGGGCCTCGTGAGCAGCGTCAGGACAGTGGCCATGGTCAGCAGCAGGCGGCCCTGGCCCCCCGGCCCACACCCCATGGCTGTCGGGCTGGCGGCTCCCTGGAGGACTCTGCCGGACGCGGCCCCACCCTCGCCCAACAGCCGGGAAGGGGGCCCGGCTGCAGCCTGTGGTCGGAGGCCCCACCTCCGCCGGAGCCGGTGCTTCTGGGAGCCCGGTGACCGCCCGCCTCGGCCATTGGCCACGATCGCGATTGCACAGGCGGCCAGGAAATGGGTGGGGGGAGGCTCTCGGGGCCGCCTGCCCGGGCAAACCTGCACTCTGCCAGGCCGTGTGACCCCAGAGGTCATTGACCCTCTCTGTGCCTCAGTTTACCCAGCATCAGCCCGGGGACCGTGTGCAGGGAGCTGCCCGCAGGACCCAGTACACGGTTGACGTGCGTGGTGCCCGCGGCCGCCTCTCGGGGGTCGTGGTGCCGGCTGTCCAGCCGAATGGGGTCCAGCCCCAGCCCTGCCTGTCGCTGACTGGAACCTCAGTTTCCCCATCTGCAACCCCAGCACCGATCTCAGGGCTGTGAGGACGATGAGAAGGGCCGGCCCCTGGAGCCCCTGTGATTATTGCTGCATTTATGGAGCACGTACTGTATACCAGCCCAGGCAGGAGCTGGAGATAGAGCGTGATGGTGACAAAGGCCCCCCACGGTGCTGATTCTGTGGGGCTGGGGGTGTGGAGCCAGCGATCTGGGCTCAGGCCCTGGTGCACCGGGAGCCCAGAGACCGACCGGGTGGGTCTCTCAGGGCCGCAAACGAGGGGCCGAGATGCTCCAGGGTGCTGGGGAGCCATGGGAGGCAGCAGAGCAGGGGGATGGCAGCTGCGGTGAGCCAGGGGGACACACGGTCGGAGGCGCGGTGCCGCCTGGAGAGCCTTTATTGAGGGGGAGACCCCGCCTGCCCGTCAGTAGTGCTGCAGCACGTCCCTGATCCAGGACACGTAGGCGGACACGCGGGTGTAGACGTCCGGGAAGTGGGGGCTCCCGCACACCATGGAGGAGAAGGACACCACGCCCTGCAGCTGGCCACGGCAGAAGAGGGGGCCGCCCGAGTTGCCCTGTGGACAGAGGGTGGCAGGGCGTCATGGGTGGGGGAACTGAGTCACAGCGGGCAGCCCCCATGTGTCATTTCCACCCGAGGGATGGGGCTACAGGGCGCCCGGCTCACCACGCACACACCTCGGCGCTCCCTGGTGCCCGTGGAGGCGCAGAGCATGTCCCGCGTGAGGGCCCCTCTCCAGGATGTGTTGCAGGTGTCCTGGGGCTGGACGACCACAGTGGCCTCCAGCAGCGCGGCCGAGGGGTCGTCGTGGCCCGTGGTCTCGCCCCAGCCCATCACGTGGCACTGTGACCCTGGGCGTAAATCGCGGTTCCGGCCAGGCAGGGGCATGGGGCGAACGGAGGAAGTGCGGCAGGCCGAGGTGTGGAGCTGGAGGCAGGGAGAGGCAGAGACAGAGGTGGAGAGACAGAGAGACAGGGACGGGGCGGGGGACAGGGAGAGAAATGATGATGGTGGTGGTGGTGACGATGGTGGTGGTGGTGGTGATGATGGTGGTGATGGTGGTGATGGTGGTGGTGATGGTGGAGATGGTGGTGATGGTGGTGGTGATGGTGGTGATGGTCGTGGTGATGGTGGTGATGGTGGTGGTGATGGTGGTGATGGTCGTGATGATGGTGGTGATGGTGGTGATGGTGGTGATGATGGTGGTGATGGTGGTGATGGTGGTGATGGTGGTGGTGATGGTGGTGATGGTGGTGGTGATGGTGGTGATGGTGGTGATGGTCGTGATGATGGTGGTGATGGTGGTGATGGTGGTGATGGTCGTGATGATGGTGATGGTGGTGGTGATGGTGGATGGTGGTGATGGTGGTGGTGATGGTCGTGATGGTCGTGATGATGGTGGTGATGGTGGTGATGGTGGTGGTGATGGTGGTGATGGTGGTGATGGTGGTGGTGATGGTGGTGATGGTGGTGATGGTCGTGATGATGGTGGTGATGGTGGTGATGGTGGTGATGGTCGTGATGATGGTGATGGTGGTGGTGATGGTGGTGATGGTGGTGGTGATGGTGGTGATGGTGGTGATGGTGGTGATGGTCGTGATGATGGTGGTGATGGTGGTGATGGTGGTGATGGTGGTGATGGTCGTGGTGATGGTGGTGATGGTGGTGATGGTCGTGATGATGGTGGTGATGGTCGTGATGATGGTGATGGTGGTGGTGATGGTGGTGATGGTGGTGATGATGGTGGTGATGGTGGTGATGGTCGTGATGATGGTGGTGATGGTGGTGATGGTGGTGATGGTCGTGGTGATGGTGGTGATGGTCGTGATGATGGTGGTGATGGTGGTGATGGTCGTGATGATGGTGATGGTGGTGATGGTGGTGATGGTGGTGATGATGGTGGTGATGGTGGTGATGGTGGTGATGGTCGTGATGATGGTGGTGATGGTGGTGGTGATGGTGGTGATGGTCGTGATGATGGTGGTGATGGTGGTGATGATGGTGGTGATCATGGCGATGGTGATGATCATGATGGTGATGACACCTCCCTATGCTCTCAGCCTTGTCCTGGGTCCCTCCCCCTAGGTGAGGCTGCCCCTCCTGGCCCCGCCTGCCCGGCCACCTTGAGCAGCTGAATGTCATGGATGTCCTGCTGGGCGTTGTAGAGCGGGTAGGGCACGGCCCGCGTGATGTTGAAGACCTGCTGGGTGGGCTCCGGTGTGTTCAGGTTGTGGGCCCCCAGGACCACCCGGAAGTCGCTGAGGTTCCTGCCTCAGGAGGGACGGGGACAGGGCACTGAAACCGGAGCATGCTGGACCTGTAGCCCACCCACCCCCCGGGGCAGCCCCAGCCACTCACCAGGCCACCTCGCAGTGCGTGGCGGTCAGCACCCAGCGAGGCCGCACCAGCACGGCCCCGCAGATGTGCTTCTCGTCCAGCTGCAGAGATGCCATGTAGGGTCGTGAGTGGGGCGCCACTTCACGGCCCCCCACGATGCTGCCTCGCAGGGTCCCTGTGGGGCAAAGCCGGGTGAGGGGCCTGCGGTTTTAACCCCAGACGCTGCCCGTCCCCACACGTACCTGGGACTTCCAGTGGCCGTGAGTGTCCTGCAAGAACCGATTTAGCCCGTCTGCAGAGTCCCCTCTGCCCCGTGAGGTGACAACGTCCACAGGGCCCGGGACCAGGATGGGGGATGTCTCTGGGGCCGCATTTAGCCGACCACAGTTCCCTGTGAATTAGTTCACTGTGTCGTCATCGTCCCCACTTTACAGACGGGGAAACTGAGGCACAGAGCCTCAAAGCAACAGGGTTGGGGCGGCACCAGCTGGCGTGGAGGGAACGGGCCTGTGTGTGGTATCTGGACTTCAACCCAGGGAGGCCCGCTGGTCGGATCGTAAGTGATTGTCATTCCGCGTGACTGTGTCTGTGACAACGTGGCAGCCACAGGAAGCCGACACGGCCCTGAGGACACCGAGGAAAATGCAAACCACGGGGTTGGTGGGAAAGTCGTCCCTGGGGTCTCGGCTGGGGCCGGGCACCGTGTGGCCACTCGGAGCCCAGTCGCAGCTCATAGCGGACAGTCCCCGGGAGACTCTGCTGGCTCCTGTCCACTCTGGGTCTCTGGGACCGTCCTGTCACGACCGTGTCCCCAGCCACATGCCCTGGAGGTTGGTATGAGGACTACGTGAAGCTGCAGAGACAGCCGAGGATGGCAGCAGTGTGTCTATCCCCATGTTACTGATGGGGAAACCGAGGTGCAGAGAGGTTAAATGCCTTGGTCAAGGTCACACAGTGAGGGAGCAATGGGGCCAGAGATGCAGCCTCGGGACGGGTCTGGTTGCCTCCACTGGGGGCCGATTCTACCCACAGCCAGTGCACTTCCTTCCCATCTGAGAAGCAGTTTCAAAACAAAAAAACCGTCCTTCGAGGTCCCAAATAACCAAGCTGCCCACAGTGGAGCTTTGCAGGGAGGAGGGACCGCGTGGGGGTCAGTGATCCTACTTCCCCAGCCGAGGCCCAGAGAAGGGAGCCTGGCTTGTCCAGACCCTGGGACTCCTGGACTGCACCCTCAAGGGTCCTTTCCACGGGAGATGTGGGTGTCATCCTCGTCCTTGAGTCCCAGTCAGGGCAGACTCAACAACAACGACAATGATGATGATGATAACCATAGCTCCCTTTACTAAACACTTTTGTTATTGATTTGTTGGAGCTCTTTACATATTGAGGACACGAACTCATGGTCACATGAATTTCTTTTCCTGAGCAGCTATCAAGTGCAGAGGACACAGCCCCCCAGGGAGTGGGTTTGGCTCCTGACGATCTGCAATGGGACACAATGCTGGCCCAGCCACAGCTGGACAGCTCCATCAGACCCCAAATGGTCTCTGTCCCCCTTACCTGCAAAAGCTGGGGATCCCAGGGCCAGTGTGCAGGCCAGGAGGACGGCGGGGGCGGCAGCTCCGGGCATGCTGCTCTGTGCAGGGCCCGACCTGGCTGGGTTATGAAGCTGGGGGCGCCCTTCCCTCCGGGATAAGCTCCCTCTTGCATCCGGCGCATCCTTCCCAGCCTCTTCGGGGCTTGTGTAATGCGAGGTAACGGCACCAACGGTTCCCGGGGGGCTGGCCGTGGGGGGGGGGACCGCGTGGGTGTCGGGAAGGGGTGGGCCCGTCCCAGCCCAGCCCCTCCAAGAAATGGTCAGTTCTGGCTCCCGTGAGGTTCTGACATAAATAAGAGTAACGAATAAGGACTCTCATCGTTATTGATGCTCACCTCCCCGACCCTCCCCCTCCGCACAAGGGCTGCTGACGTCCCCGCCTGACAGAGGGAGAAGCTGAGGCACAGAGAGGCCCGGTGACCTTCCTGGGGTCACACAGCTTGGGAGAGACGCTGAGCCTCTTACTGCCTCACCAGATGCTTGTGGAGTGACCCTGCGAGTGAGGCCCTGAGGCCCATGACAGACAGTGGCTCCCAGCAACTGCAGCTCAGAGTGTCTGCTCAGGTCCCCTTGGATCCCGCCCCGAGGGGCATGCAGTCGGCGCTCATCACTCAGCCTGAGCTGGGTATGCAGCTGGAGCTCAGCAGGTGCACAGCCCCTGCCCGCAGCCCAGAGCAGCAGGGGAGGTTCAAGCAGTGTGGGAGGTGGGGGGGGGGTCAGGAGACCCTGAAAATTTAGGAAAAACTCAAAATCTTCCCAGAAAACCCCCCAGATTCAGTGTCGGAGGCCCAGGCACCCCACACTCCACCCCACTTTGTGCCTCAGTTTCCTCATCTGCGACGGGGTCGGTGGTGACACGGCCGCCCATTGCAGACTCTCTCTGAGACCCGAGTCGGGGGCCTGGGAGGACCAAAGAAGGGACAGGTGCGTGTGAGTGCCTCGCACGTGGGGAGCCCCGAGCAAGCCCATTGCACCGATGGGTAAACCGAGGCCAGTGGGCCAGAGCCTCATGGCCCCTCCCGCCTCCTCCACCCTGACAGACTCCAGGATTTCCGCCCGGGGACGATAACAGGGGGAAGTGGCTTGGCTGCTGCTGGGGTCCCTGGAGCAGCCCCCGCGGCTCTGAGCCTCACTGTCCCCCTCTGGGGGTGCCGGGCGCCCCGGCAGGGCCTGTTTGCTCATCTGTGCGCAGGATGCTAGCGGGAGATGTGAAGTCATTCATCCCGAAAGCGCGTATTGAGCACCTGCTGTATGCAGCTGCTGTCCTGGGGCCACGGCAGTGGGGACGACAGACGAGTCGCTGACCCGGTGGAGCGGCGGCCAGAGACGCCACGGTGAGCAGACGGCGTCGTCCGCCAGGAGAACCGAGTGGGGAGAGAGCGACCGGCCTCGAAAGGGGGAGAGCGAAGGGGGCGGACTCAGAACAGGGCGCGAGGAGGCCCAGCAGCATGGGACGCGGGGCGGGCATCCTGGAGGAGGCGCGGCGGGTGTCACAGGAGGCGTGTGGGCCGCGCAGGGCGGGCGGATCCCGCGGGGGAAAGAGAGTGAGGCCGAGGGCCAGGGTGGGGGCCACAGGCCTGAGCTGGGCCGGCGGGAGGTCGGGGGGCCCCTGACTCAGGGACGCAGAGCCCAGAGTGAGAGCCCCCTGGAGCCCGAGGGCCCCGCAGGGTGTCGGGGCGGCCGCAGCTGCGAGGTGGGCCGGGCCTGGGCCGGGGCCGGGGGCGTCCAGGGTGAGCAGAGGCTGCGAGGAGGCGGGAGGAGAAGGGGGGTCGTCATGGAAACGATGGGAGCCTGTGGTCCAGGAAGGGGGCGGGGCCGGGGGCGGGGAGCAGAGAGGAGGGGCCGGGGGTGGAGTGGCCGCCCCTCGGGGAGCGAGGGGTCAGCTGAAGCCCACCTCGCGTCAGAGTCCGTCCCACCTCCCGCCTCGGCCCCCCCGGGCTGTTCCCGCCACCGCCGTCTCTGCCTCACCCAATTCCCCAGCTCACATGGCGCCACCTCCAGGCTGGTCCCCTGGAAACAGCTGCCCACACGCCTGAGTCTGGGGTGTGGATGCCGGCGTGCCCGTGTGGGGTCTTGAGAGCCGCGGAGAGGACTCTGGCTTTTGACCTGAGGGAGGCAGGCGCCCTGGGGAGCTTAGGGCTGGGAAAGGACGTGGATGGTTTATGGGGACAGGGAGAGAGGCCCCCACACCCTCCTCCCCTCCCTATTTTTAGTTCTTTTTTTTTTTTTTTGCTGAGGAAGACTGGCCCTGAGCTAACATCTGTGCCCATCTTCCTCTGTTTTATATGTGGGACGCTGCCTCAACGTGGCCTGATGAGCGGGGCTAGGTCCGTGCTCAGGATGGGAACCTGCAAACCCTGGACCGCCGAAGTGGGGCGCACGAACTCAACCACTGTGCCACCGGGCTGGCCTCCCTCCTATTTTTCAACAAAATGCATCCACTGTCCTTCAAACCTCGAATCATTCGTTTGGTAAACAAGAAACACCATGTCTCCCAGCCTAGGGCTCCTGCATCCCTGGTACCGTCGGGGCCAAGTACACAGCAGGCGCTCAATAAATGTTTTTGGCCTGAACGGGCTCAAAGGCCAAGGGGCAGGGATGAAAGTGCCCACAGCTCACTTTTGCTGAGCACCTGGTGCGGGGTCAGCGGCAAACCTCGGCCCGCAGGTTGGACCCGGCCCACGGCCTGTTTTGTAAATAAAGTTTTATTGGCACACGGCCACCCGACGTTCACGCGTTGCCTCCGGCTGCTCTCGAGCCGCAGTGTCAGAGCCGAGTCCTTGCAACAGAGGCCGTCTGGCCCGCAATGCCGAAAATATTTACTCTCTAGCCCTCGACAGAAAAAGTTTGCCAAACCCTGAGGCAGCACATGCTGGGCCCTCCTCCAAGCCCTCCGTGTCGATTCGCCCGTTAACCCTGGGAGCAGCCCTGGGAGGGTGGGGAAGTGAGGCCCAGAGAGGTTAAGAAACAGATGCGGAGGCACACAGCACGGGTGGGGCTGAGCTGAGACTGGAACCCGGGGCCCCTGATGTTTCTTGGGTCTTCTTCCTTCTTCCACCTGCTGTGTCTTCCTCCAGAGCTCGGCCAGGGCCATTTGCCCTACACACACGCCCTTATCCAGCACGTGCTGAGAACCATTTTAGGAGAAAACGAAGAGGTTTTGGACAAATCTCTCTCTCCCACCCTCGATCCCTCGACTCCAGGGAGTGAGTGTGTTGGGGGCCAGGGGGCAGAGTTCCTGGAAGAACCGGGAGTCGGGGCCACGGTCGCTGTGTTGATGGGGACGGGTCCCGCCTCGCGCCCCGCCGCGGGGTCCACACGGGGACCCAGGCAGCGTGAGGGACTCAGACAGCCCACGAGGAGTCAAGGGGCCGGCAGGGGACCTCGCTGCCTCCTCCGCTCCCCTCAGGCTCCCGTCCAGGCTTCCCGCCCGCCACAGGCCGGGCCTGGCCCCCAACTCCAACCTGGGTGTCCAGTTGCCCACCGACGTCCCCCGTTGTCGCTGCCCCCAACGCCATCCACGTCAGCGTGTCCTTCCAGGCGCTCAGGCTGGAGACGGGGACCCCGGGGCCTGTCACCCCACATCCCGTCTGCTGGCAATGTGGTCGGCTCCCCCGTGATGGATCCAGAATCCACCTGCCTCTCAACCTGGTCCAGCTTCGGCCACGTCCAGGGGGTCCCAGGGCAGCCTCTTCCGGCCCCCACCCTCCCGGTTTAATGCAGTCCCCACCTGGCGGCCCAGATGCCCTCGCCAAGACAACCGGGTCGGCCCCTGTCTGGCTCTAAGCTGTGCTGTGGCTCCCCAGTGCCCTGGCCACAGAGCCCGGGGTCCCCCGCTCCCTCCGGCCCTCGTGCGCCCAGGAGCATCAGCGGCTGCTGTGTCGTCCTCCATCCCGCTGCTCGGTCGGGCCTGGCCGGTCCCCCACCCGGACGCTCTTCTCCGGGCACCCGCGCCAATGGCCTCTCCGGACCTGCCCCCGGGGGGGGGGTCCCCGGCCGCTCCCCTCGGACCCGGGGGTGGTGGGGGGGCGCGCGGGGGGCGCGGGCGCGCGGAGGGGCCGGGCGCGGGGCCCGGAGGCCGGCAGGAGGCGCGCGCGGGCCGGCGCGGGGGCGGCGCGGGGCGGGGAGCCGCGCGCAGGAGAAACGCGGCGGCGGCGACGCGCGCGCCCAGCCCACCCCCCGCGCCGCCGCCGCCCGGACAATAAACAGCCGCGCGCGGGGCGATGCCCGAGCCGGTGCCGCCGCCCCCGCGCCCCGCAGCCCCGGCCGCCCGGCCTTAGCCCGCGGCCCCGCCCGGACTCGCGGGAGATGGAGTGAGTAGGCGCGCTCGGCGCCGCGGGGCTCGGAGGCCGGGGGGCGGGGGGGGGCCCTGTGCATGGGGAGGGGGGCGGCGAGGGGCTTCCGGGACCCCCAGCTCCGCCCGGGAGGGATGAGGCCGGGCCGCGCCCGCCCGGAGGCCTCCCCGCGGCCGAGCCGGCGGCCCACGCGCGGATGGGGATCGGGCGGCGGCGGCCGGGGGCAGCTCGGGACGCCGCGAGGGGAGGCCCGTGTCCCCGCCCGCGCCCCCCCGACCGGCCTCGGCCACCTGCGCCCCCCGCCCAGCGGGCGCCCTGGGGGGATGGAGCGACCCCTCCCGGTGCACCGGGCGCCCCCCCCCCCAGCCTGAGCTCGTTGCTCCCTGCGCCCTGGGCGCGCGCTCGGGCCGCCCCGCTCCCCGCCCGCCGCGGGGGCCTCCAGGGCTGTCCGGAGCCGGAGCCCCCGCGGAGGAGGCCTGGGTCCGGCCACCGCCAGGGGTTGTCCCGAGTTCCCGCGGGCGGAGGGGGCTGGGATGGGAGACGGGAGGTCCCGGCGCTTTCCGACAGGGGGCCTGGGGTCTGCTCTCCCCTCCCCCAGGAAAAGTCCCCAAGATGGGGCCCCAAATGGAGCAGCCGAGAGTCGGAGGGCCGGGTACCGGCGGAGTGGGCGGCGGGGTCCGTGTGGGGTGAGCTGAGGAGCTGGTGGGCGGGGGCTCCTCGCACAGGCAGGTGTCCGTGAGCGTGCACGGTTCTTGCAGACAGGGTCCCCTCTTCCCGGCCTCGGGGTGTCCCCCACGCCCCCACTCCCACAGGTGGGCGCCTGGAGGGCGTGCGGTGTGGACACGGGCAGGGGGCTGGGCAGCCGGCCCCTGTGAGGCGGGTCGGTGGGCGGCTGCCCGGCTCTGGGCCCGAGGCCGGCACGTGGAGGTCCGGACGCCCACCCGGCCGGCCCCCCTGCCCTTCCCACGGGGTGTGTTTTCGGAGCTGACAACTTTCCTCCGGGGAGTCACCCGTGACCCGCCACACCCTCCCGCCCGCCCGGGAAGGCGACACCCACTGTCCTCTGCTTTTGAAAACCAGACAAAGGCCCGGCCGGCTCCCCCACCCGCCCGGGAGCCCAGCCAGGGGCTCAGGGGAACCAGGGCCCAGACTTGTCTGCCCGCTTCCCCCCCTCTTGTTTATCTGCTCCGCTCCCCGGGCCCAAGGGGAGTCTCTGGGCCTCCTGACAGCAGGCCCTGGGCAGGGTGTGGCCGTGGGGAGGGGGCCGCCTGGGGGAAGCCAGGAAAACGCCCACCCAGAGCCGAGGGAGGAAGAGAGATTCTGGTTGGACTTATTGTTTTCTTTCCCGCCACCCCTTTCATTCTTGGGGGGTGGGGGGTGGGGGGGGGTGGGAGATTCTGAGGCCCAGAGAGGGGCAGCCGATGCCCCAGGGTCACACAGCACAGGGAGGGCCCCTGGGTGCCTGCTTGGTCATGGGCCTCACAGGGCACCATGCCCCCCATTAGGTGGACCCCTGGCTTTTCTGGGTGCAGACGTGGGACGGGGACTTGGTGTTACGGGGCCCGAACAGCCGTAGAGAAAGCCTGTGTCCCCAGCGCTGGGGTTGCTGGTGGGTGTGGAGAGAGGCCGCCGGGGCGTGAACACCTGCCCCCCGGCTCATCCGTCGTCCTTTTCCACGAGGCCAGAGCCAGCCCCGGGCCCAGGGCCTCCCTGGCGGCCTCCTGTTTCCTTAGAGTTTGCCGTCGGGGTCACAGGACGTGGTGGTGGTGGCGGCTCACGGGGTTGCCGGAAAGTTCCTTTTAAGATCGAATTTAAGAATTTGACAAAATTTGCTTCGTTTAAAGATCAAACTAATTTTCCTTAGTTTAAGAATTTAAGGATTTGGCGAAAAGTAGTGAAGACATAACCCCCGAGGCGGCGGGGGCCTTGGCTGATGCTACAGAGGTGGGACGAGGGGGGGGGGCGGCAGGATGATGAGACACTATGTGGGGGGGACGGCTCTGCCCTGGGGGGGACTTGCTGTGTGACCCCGGGGACCTCAGGGTCTGGCTGGCAGAATGAGGCGGTTTCAGACACCCAAACCCCGGTCCTGGGTGAGGCCGAGCTGGGGCCGGGCCGAGGGGGGTCGTGACCTTCCCGGGTCCCCGCCGGCCCCCAGGCCTGGACATTTGCAGGGAGAAGGTGTGGGTTGGGCGCCCACCCGGCCCTTAATGCCTCCTGGGCGCTTGTTAATCTCCCTTTTTAATGAGAGGGAGCCGGTCAGAGGCAACGGGCCTGCTGATAATTGAATTTAATAACAAGCTTTTGTTTTCATTGTATCTATTTTTCGAAAACGTGTTTCCTCTGGAGCAGCAGGGGCTGCGGGTTGTCTGCGTCGTGGTAACAATGTAACGTTTCCTCCCAGAGCCGGGGGTCCAGTGTAGACCTGACCCCAAGGGAGGCGGCGGAGGAGCGGGGGGAGGGCGGCGCGTGAGAAGTGCGGGCGACACTGAAAAGTCACTGAGGAAGCACCGGCTGCATACGGCGCCCCGTTCCGCGTGCCGTGTCCCTGTGAACTCGCTTGATCCCCACAGCAGCCCTGTGAGGTGGGGAAACCGAGGCACAGAGAGGTGACGCATCCCGCCCGAGGCCACACAGCTGGAGAGGGTGGGGCTGGGATTTGGTCGCTGGCTGGGCCGTTTCCTCAGCTGCCGGCGTGGGGGGGTGCAGGTCTCCTGTACTTTCTTCCCGGGTCCCAGGGGCTGTGGTCTGGGGGGCTCCAAACTGTCCTGATGTCGGCTTTTCACCCCGGTTTGTCTACCGGGCCGCACAGAAGGTGTGTTCTGGCCCTGCATCCTCCCCCAGGGAGCCCTCCATGACTGCCAGTCTTGGGGGGGAGATATGGAGGGGGGTGCTGACTCCCCACAAGGCTTCAGGTGGGTCACTCGGCTCCTCTGGGCTCCTGTTTCTCATCTGGTGACGGGGGCACCGGCCCACCGCAGTGGCCCATCCTCAGGGGTCTCAGATTTTGACGCTGGGAAACGGTTGACGATCTTGACAAAAACCGCATCACCTTCTCCCAGGTCTGGAATCCTGTTTTCTGTCAGTCTTTCTCCGTCCAGGAAGCCTGTTTTCTGCTTATTTAGGACATATTCTCTGCGGACCTGCGGGGCCCCGTGCAGGGTCGGAGAGTCTGGGGGGGCCCAGAGGGTCTTCTGTGAGGTGTGGGGAAGGCTTCCTGGTCTTTCCCATCGTGGGCCTTTTCTGTGAAAGACGCTTAAGGGTCCACCCAGGCAGGCAGAGGGTGCGCCTGGTGGAGAGATGGGCCCGGAGCGCCCAGCAGGCAGGAGCGAGGCTCTGGTGGCTGAGGGGCCAGACCAGGGAGCAGCAAGCCAGGGGGGCCGTGGAGAGAGGAGTGGAGCCGGCGGAGGGCAGGGCCCGGGGCCTGGGTGGGTGCAGACCCGTCTCCAGAACTTGGTGGTGGGCCCAGCTGCCCGCAGGGACGGGCCGGCCCCGGATGTGCAGGGGTCTCCCTCAGTGTGGACGGCGTGGGGAGGTCTCGGTGTCTGAGGGAAATGGCACGGGGTGGCCATCTCCTGCCCCGGGCTCGGAGCAGGCGCTCAGGGCCAGTCAGAGGCCGTCCCGGGACCGTCTGGATCGGGCTGGGGGTCCGGGGGGCGGCCTGCTCTGGGCCTTGGTGGCGGGTGAGGCCGAGTGTGGACAGAAGCAGGTCGGGGGACGGGGCCCAGCCTGGTGGGCAGAGGGGGTGGGGGCAGCTCTGGGGCCGCATGTGGGGCAGGGGCTGGGGGGGCTTCTGGTGACACGCATCAGCGAGCGAGCAGTGGAGCCCCGGCCGGCGTGTGTTCAAATCCTGCCAACCCAGGAGGGTCCGGGGCGGGGCCGGCAGGACTCACGATGCGCGGGGCCCGGCTCTGGCCCCGGCAGAGGGGTCCTCGATGCTGCTGTGCGTGTGTCTGTGTTTATCGTGATGAGGTTTATGGAGACACAATCCACCCCTTGAAAGTGCACAGGCCCCTGGTTTCAGTGCATTTGCAGAGCTGTGCAACCATCACTTCCACATAATTCCAGAACATTCCATCCCCATAAACAAACCCCGTCCCCATCAGCATCACCCCCACCCCCTCCCCAGCCCCTGGCCCCCACGAACCCGCTCTCTGTCTGGATCTGCCTGTTCTGGACGTTTCACGTCCATGGGGTCACACGCCGTGTGTCCTTCTGTCTCTGCTTCTCTCCCTGCGTCATGTGTTCAGGTCCGTCCACGTGCAGCTGTGTCAGGGCCTCGCTCCTCTTCACGGCTGCGTAATATTCCAGGGTGTGGGTGGACATGTGTGTGGACCCATCACCCATCGGTGGACTTTTGGGCCATTTTATGCATTGATTTGCACAGTCGCTCCGAGTGGTTGTGACTTGTCCCACGTCCGTCGGATGTGGAGCTCTGGTCCTGTTTTAGACAAACCTGAGCTGTGACTGTGGGTTTCTTTAAAAAGAAAAAAAGGGAAGTGGTGGTGGGACAGGTGTGTCGCGTGGCAGGCGGGGCGGAAACCCTTGGGTGGGGCCTCCTCCGAAGATGGAAAGACCCTCATTGACTCGCTGGTCCAGTGAGCATGAATTGAGTACCTCCTGTGTACTGGGTGCTGCGAACGGGGCAGGGACAAAGACAGCTACAGTCCTCGTGGGGGAATAAGAAATGAAATAAGGGAAATGACTGGGGTGTCGCGTGGCGGTGAGGGCTGGGGGGGTGATTGGGGGTGTGGGCGTGCAACTTAATTGGGGAGGTCAGAGGAGGTGACATCGGAGGACAGGCCTGCGGGAGCTAGTGAGGCCGTGAAGACCTGGGAGAAAGCGCAATGGGGAAGGGGGGGACACAGCCAGTGCAAAGGCCCTGGGGCCAGAGCCAGCCCAGGATGTTCGAGGAGTGTGGCTGGAGCGAGCGGAGTGAGGGGTGGGGTTAGGAAGCAGTCCTGGGCCTGGGAAGCAGTCTCTGCAGCCGGATCTGCCTTGAAACCCCTCCTACCTGGAGCGGGAGGAACCACTGGCTCAGCTGCCCCATCCAGGCCCCACTGGCCCTCCTGACGTGGCGCCTGGGGTTGGGGGGCAGGGTCCAGCTCCTTCCCTCCCCAGTGCAGGTTAATAGGCAACAGGTTTGCTCCTGTGGGTCTGCGGCCTCCTCTGACCTCCATGTCCACCGGCGGGGGGACCCTGAACCTTCTAGAAAGCCAGTGCCACGGGGCCTGTTCACCTCACCATCACGGGGGTGGTCCAGCCCTGCCCCCTTCCTGGGGAGGGGAGGGGACCAGGAAGGCTTCCCGGAAGAGGCGGCTGGGCTGGAGCTGGGCTGGGAGGTGGAGGAGGCAGAGGAGGGCAGGGGTCACCGGCTGGGGGAGGGGTTGGAGCCGGGAAGGTTCTGGGGCAAAAGGGAGACGGGCCTGCGGGGAGCTGGGAACCAGCGTCTGGAACGGACCTGCGAACTCCATCCCGCCCGCGGGGACCGGCCCGGGCTCCCCGCCCCCCAGCCCGCGTGACTCCCCCCCCCCCCCACGGCCAAGGCCAAGGTCGTCGTCGTCAGCTGTTTCCTTTCAATTAGCACAGGAATGTTCGGCTGGGCTGCGCCTGCCAGGCCCGGGACCCCTCATTCCGGCTGGAGCTGCCCGGGCGCGGGCTCCGGAGGGACAAGTGCGAAACCCCCTCCCGCCTCCCGCCTCCCGCCTCCCACCTCCCGCCCCGTCCTCCCGTCCTGCCCGCTGGGTGACCTTGGGCTGGTTGCGTAACCTCTCTGGGCTTTTAAAAAACTAAACGCCTCGCCAAGCCGAGGCCTCTGCGGGCCGGTTGGGTTTGGGCCCCATTAGCTCATCTGCTGGAGCCCGATTCTCTCACGCGCTCGCAGCCGCCGCCCTCGCCGAGTCCTGAGCCGCCCACACCGCGGCGCGAGCCCAGAATTTGCTCCGAGCGCCGTAAAAATAATCGCGCGGGGACGGGAGCCGGAGCGCTCGAGGGCGGGCGTCCGGCCGCGGGTGTGTCCCTCCACACGGGCGGCTGTGGGCTGTGGCCCATTGCCCAGCAGAGCCGGTGGAGGCTCAGAGACGCGGCTGACCTGCCTCGGGTCACACAGCCCGTGGGGGCAGCTGCCACGCCCTCTAAACCCTCCCCACGCCTTTTGGCCCAAACTCCGCTTCTCCGCCCAGGATGTGAGACCTTTTGTGATGTGGCCCCTGCCTCCCTCCCTGAGCCTGAGTGAGCGAGCGTTTCAATCATCCCGCTGACCCCCCAGCCCCGTCGGACCTCGGGGAGACCCTGCGCTCCGTGCGGTCCGTGTGCTTCGGAGCCCGTCGGCCTGGGTCCGGGTCCTGCGTCACCATTGACCAGCTTCCGTTCACTGATAAACACACGGGGCCATCAGGAGGATGGAGGCTTAGCCGACGCCGAGCCTCCCCAGCCTCAGTTTCCCCTCCTGACCGGCCCACAGAAGGCGGCGAGCGCGGGGGTCGGGGGGTCTCATTCCACGGCCGTGTCTTTAGGGTTCTGTGGGGCGACTTCGCTTTGTTTTTCGGATCTAGGGTATCGGGAGTTATCTTGGCTCCACCGCGGCCACCTCGCGCCAGGGGCGGGTCCAGACCCTCCCCGGAGAGGAGCCGCTCCCTGGGTGGG